AGTTATTCTTTATGTTTTCGTTAATAATAACAAACAACAATAACAAAAATAGTTATTCTTTATATTGTTGTTATTAATAATAAAATAATAATAAAAATATCAAAAACAGTTATGTCTTATTTTGTAGTTATCAATAACAAAATAACAATAAAAAAAACAGTTATACTTTATTTTTTTCTTATTAATAACAATAGCAATAAATACACATCCCTAGGGTGTGTGGGTGGGTGTCAGTGTGGGTGCAGGTATCGACGGGAGTAGGTATGAGTAGGTGTGGGTGTGGGTTTCAATGGTCTTTATTCAAATCCACACCCCACATCCACATCCACACTCCCAATGGGCTGCAAAAGAAACTTGTCGCTACAGCTCCGCCAATCGGCACGGACATCTCTGATTCCTATTCGTATACAACGATCTATACTCGTTAACAATCTTTAATAGAGTGTCATTTGTTTGTTCATTTGAGACGATGTATCATAACTCTTCATTTTACTTCATGTAATCAAATGAAATGAAATGAAATCTGCCCACATATGTGAATTATTTCAAGTAAAATTGATTGCTTTGGAATATTTTTTCAATCTTGTTTTTGTTAAAAAATGACAGTAATATTTTTGTGTGATGATAAATGTTCGATTAGTCGTTAATAAAGGCTGCGTGTGTAAATGAGAATGATAGTTTTGATCGGTGAAGTCGATTTAAGAAAGATTCGTCAAATTTGTGATTGTTAAAAATGTTGTGAATCGATAATAGTATTGAAATAAATAGTCGCATGTTGATTATAGAAGACGCGACATTGACAAAAACCATGTCTAATTTGTTTGTTAAAAAGAAAATTGTTATTAAAAAAAGAAATTCGAATAAATTCATTCAAATAAATGAAAAAAGAAAAAGCTAAATAATTTGTTGTTGTGAAACAAATCGATGAAGTTGAAATTGAATTCAACATTGAAATGGTTGAAGTGCCGGATTTATTTCATTTTGATTTTTATCTAATTGATTTAAAAACTAAAAACTGATAACACGAAGAGATGAAAAACCTTTTTGTTTATCTTTCTTTTTGTCTCGAATTCATCTTGATGCTGAAGTTAATGGTCGATTTTTATCTTTTGAGAAATTTGAATCGTCTTTTGTTTTGATGATTTCATTTGAATGTTTTCTTGATTGATTGAAGGAATTTCTTGTGGAAAAAAACCTCTAAATGAAAATTCGACTTCATAATCTCCATCAAGAAATAGTGAATAAGTTCAACATTAAATTCGGCTAAAATTCTTTCAATTGGATCCGTTCGAACAATCAATTTACTTGTATCGTCACTTTTTCTTTCTGTTGAATACTTTATCTTTAGTAGAATTTGGTTTAGTTTTTTTGATCATTTCCTTGATTAACATCATCAGAAAGCCACTATTCTGCCTAAATACGATTAAACAATTATGCATAGTGAAAACAATTTTATTTTATTCGTCAAAATCGATTTTCAATAATCGTATTCGAGTTTTACAAAGAAACTTTTCGAAATCAAATTTTGTTAACTGTGGTCAATAATAACGATCAACAAAATTATTGAATAGTTAGAAAAATAAGTTTAGCACAACAATAATATTGTATCAGTGCATCATATGATTTTTGTTTGAATGCATCGAACGATATGATTCTAAAAAAATTGGTAAAACTCGATTTCATAACGTTTTAATTAATAAACCTTGTTTACTTTTTTCAAATTTGGTTTAAACATTTTTCTTGCCAATTGAAACAATATTCCGCGAATAAGTTTCGTCTTTGAAATATTTAGTTTTCAATCAACGGTAGCATCCATTGAAGTAAATTATAACTAACAAAGCACATGATCAGAGTCAATCACTTTGGACAGCACTGCATGCAGATTTTATTATTACTGATTTGATGATCAAGCATTTATCTCATTATCAGAGTTTTCATGAAAGAGCAGACAAAAAAATGATCAGTTGATGCAAGGATCGTCATTTTGATTGTCGAAGTCTATGTCATTTGTTGACTATATTTCGAAGTAATACGTACAATATCACAAGAAATATATCACACAGCAAAAGTTCAAATGTCCATGACAGCAATTGCACAATTCGACATAAGAATGTAGTGCGATTATAGCATCATTTTTTGTCGTCATCAGGCCGCCATGCTCTACATATAATATTGCGATAAATAGCTTCATCATTCGGCTAAATAACACTGTAATATGCCGTTTTCACACTATAGTGGCGCAATTAAATAGCAGCGGACGACATGGATATCGCAATTTTTTTTCTGATGTTACTATATGAACCAGATGTTGCATCTTTTTATGCATAATGTAGATCATTGGTATTTCTCGCTATGCTTTATTTCGTTAGACCACGTACTAGTATTGATATATGAGAACAGTGCATCATTCGATTCGTTGACGATTATCTCTTCGATCTAAATATGAATCTTTCAATTGTTAGCATGATGGACCTCCCTGACGAAATTATCCTTACTATTTGGAATAAACTGAACAAAGTCGATGTACTCTACTCGTTTGTGGGTGTCAATAAAAGATTCAATAAGTTGGTTTGTGACATGGTTTACACTCGCTCTATCGAATTAATAATACCAAAATCCAAAAGTGACAATTGCTCGTTAACTGATCCGGTACTCGATCGGTTCTGTTTATACATATTGCCTCGGATACATGAACTCGTTGAATGTCTCAAGTTCGAATCATTCTCAATGGAACGCATTCTTTCCGCTGGTGCCTATCTTCATTTACGAAAGCTCACTCTCATCAAGGTCGAACAAGAGTTTGTATTGCGACATTTCACTGGTATGGAAGTTTGTCTGATGTTCCACTTTGATAATTCTGTAAATCTATTTAGATGTGTCACCTTTTGCTCGTATTTTCAAAAAACAGATCACTCACTTAACAATCTCGATCAATGACCCGGAACGGACGCAATCATTGATTGACTTAAGCACGAATGTATTTGCTCGTATCTTTTCCATGTTCACAATTCTAGCTGAATTAGATTTTGGTTCAACCAGTCGTCGACGATACCATGCACGCCTGAAAATATCTGATTTATCTTCATTAACTTGTTTCTCATCGAGTATTGTTCATTTACGTATCAGTGTAGATACATTTGATGATTGCTTGTGTCTACTTGACGGCCGTCTCACTCACTTGCGTAAATTTGTAGTTCGAATTTCTAACATTAGCGCTTCCAGATTGGCCATCGATAATACGGTAAGTATGTTTGTCCAGGCTAAAGAAAGGATTCTCTTGTTTAAACTCTGTTATTTTAGATTTTAACAACTATGAAGAGTTTCTCGCTTAGTTCACATGACGAAACAAAGCAGTATGATAATCAAGTGGTGCCGCTTCTTCGTCGGATGGTATATCTCGAAGAATTGACGCTGCGTCTGACCGTTAAGGATCGATCGACATTCATTGATAATACTCATCTGAACAACGAGATTCTTATTCACATGCCACGACTTCAAAAATTGACTTTTAATATTGTGACTTTTACTATAGTAATCAATGAAGCGAATCGACGGACGATCGATGACATTCAGCACACGTTCTATAATGGAAAACTCCATCAACTCATTTGCTATATTGATCATTATCCACGTGGAAAGGTTCGATCTCATATCTATTCGTTTCCATACATATTGAACGATTTGTTTGACATCAGCAGCAACTTTCCTGGAGGTTCATTCACGCGTGTTCATGACGTATCATTAGTAGATATTTATTGTGCATTTGAGCATGACTTCTTCGTTCAGATCGCTCGTTGCTTTCCATTACTCACTCGCCTATTTATCTTAAACATAATACCACAGAAATACAAACGAATGCATCAACCAAACAACAATGATCAGATTTCATCGATTGTCGAGTTTTCTCATCTAACTAATCTTACAATCTCTTTTGGATGTATAGATTACACGGAACAATTTCTTGTTGATACAAACACACGTTTACCACGTCTGGTTGAGCTGAAAATGCATTATGAACACTTAGAAATTGTGACAGAGAATTTCACCCGTGATGCAACGCGTCATAACTGTGCCAACATAGAGCGTTTGATTTTTGACAAATCAATGGTACATTCCAAAGATTTTTATATATACTTTCCTTGTTGTAAATAAAATTTTGTTGTAATTCATTTCGATGCAAAAATTCAACGGGATCGAAATATCGTAGATAACTACAGAACACAATCAAAGATGTGTAACCTATGATTTTGATTATTGAAAAGGAACATTGGAGACATGAATGTATCAGTTGGATAATGTGCACAAATCGTGCAGATTGCTAGTTGTCACTAACCATTTTTCGATTGATTTTGAATTGAATGATTATCGTGTATTTTATCCGTAACCTCTGAATTGGTTGCATGATTTTACGCAATTTTAGAATAATCATCGGCTTTTCTGAAAGGACTCGCAATTGAAATATATAACTACGTACAGAGGCAGTAGTTTTTATTGTTATTTGGAAATTTATTTGGGTGACCATGCACCGAAACTGGTAACGTAACTATACTTTCGAGATTTGTTCGCCTTCGTGGTCTCATTGCTCACCGAGTCTTGGATTCAAATTAGGTATTTTTGAAACAGAATCAATGTCTGTCTTGTTATATGTTTAGATTTTCTCTCACTTGTATCATTAAGAAATAGACTTACACACTCTCACCCAACACACATACATATATCAATTAGATATAGATAGAAGAATGAGCAAGACATGGTAAGAATAGAAGCACAGAGGTAGAATAGCGAAGTACGTGATGAAATGTCATGGTTCTGGTGTTCGCCCCGTAATAGTCAATTGCATGTATTGATGATACAAAAAAGAAGCAAGATATTTGTGTAAGCATTCTTTTTTTTAGAGAGAAGAAGAATTTGATAAGACAAGAACGTAACTAATATTCGTTGCTTTTAATATATACTCATTCTGCCTAAAATACGCATAGATATAACACAGCAAGGCCACTATGTCACGAAGAGCACAAGTCGAGCAGCTGGATAAAGAAGCAGCAAAAGAAGAGGTAGTTTCATCGATTTTCTTTTGTTTACAGATATTAAATATATAGATTGTCTGCGTCCTTTAGATTCCGGAACTGGAGAAGGAACAATCCGTACTCGAGAAAAACTTAGATGAAGCACTTGAAAAGGCCGAGAATACAGAAGACCCAGAAGAAGCTGCCAAGCAAAATCGAATTGCGGACAAAATTGAAGCTGATCTGGAGGATCTCAAAGTGGAGATCCAACAAACAAAAGAAAAGGCTGCTATAGAACAACCAAAACAACAGGACGATGACAAATCTGAGTAGTGCTTTTAAGCTTTTTATCTGCGTATCGCTCACTTTTTGTTGTTGTTAATGATGAATGAATGCCTACTCTTTTTGTCAATTACTAAGAAGTAATTCAGAAATCAGTGATGTCGATTAATTTCAAAACAATAAGAAAAATAAAGCTAAGAAAACGAAGAACGAAATGAGAATTTTATTGAAGATTGCTATAGCCGTACACACACACATAGAACTTGAATAAGATGAATTACAAGTTGTAAAATTACTCTTACAGACATCGGTACATGTTGTTCCACTGCATGTTGACACCGTCAATGAGCCAAAATAGGACACTGGATCTGCTGTATTGGACTATTATTCGTGTTTTAATACAAAACTTATCTCTTTAAAGAAATATTAATTGCTAACTAGCGGTATTTTCTTTGTCTAACCTATTATCCATGCAATAGTAATATTTTAGAGGAAAAAGTTACGAATTTTTTATTTTAATCAATGATGCAACGAAAGCTTGAATGCAAAGTTGTATCACAGGATTACAGAATATGATGATCGGATATCCGTATCAGTAATTTTTCTGTTGCTATCTCTCAATCCAATTTACACGTACATTCATAGTAGAAACTAACGTTTAATTAAGATTATAATATTTCTCTATTATCAACGTTTGTATGTTAAAAATTCTAGAGATAAAAAACAAATATTAAATAAAATTACAAAAGAACTATTTTACCTTGTATTAGTATAAAATAAAGAATAAATATCAGTTAATTTGATCAGACAAAATCATCATCGAGTAGAAATGAACAAGTTTGAAATTCATTTCAATTTGTTTCAAACAGTAATAAAATTTGTTACAAAACGATCATAGCTAACAGCAGTATAACATTAGTTTGAACAAAAATTATTTTCAACTTAATCAGTTTTTTTGTTTCAAATATATTAATAGAACTATTTTGATCAAATCTTACAAAATGACTGATATACAAAGAAAAAAAATAAAGACTTTTCAAGAATGCATATTTTAAATAAAAACTTACAATTTTTTTGTTACAATAAACGCCACTAATCGAAATTACTAAATAATCTTGGGTATGGGTGTGGGTGTGGATGTTAGTGACAGAAAAATTACACGCACACCCACACCCTCAAGGGTTATTATATGAGTGTACCTATAGACCCTGAAGGGAGTAAAGCAATAATGGGATAATGCTACAAGAGTTACAAGGGGATATAAGGCTATAGGGCCGAAAGCTAATGAAGTATAAAAGTATGTGTCATATAAGAGTATGAACCCATAGGTTATCTATATACACAATGTGGAGTATATATATGGCTCTTACTGCATGAAAGGTTAAAGCTTTTAGGTCATACGTTGAAGAAGAAAACAGTCGTGCAGTATTCACGGATTCATGCTAGTTTTAATTTATTTGACAGTTTATTTTTGCACAAATTTAGGTTTAAAGCAAAATTCGAATATTATACTCACTACAGTGAAACTCACTAAGATTTGAGTTAAGTCGATTTGTTATCAAGATAATTTTTAATCAACATTGATTAGGATTTACTTTATAAATTGAATAAATGAGTAGCGAAATGAACTAATAAAATAAATGATTTTAAAAGCTAGTATGATAAAAGTGCAGCCACTTGACGAACATATCAGAAGAGACATGAACGTGAATGATGCACATTTCTGTTCTTATACCTCCTTTATAGATGACTTCTTATGTATTACTAATACTTCCACAGAGAAAGCAAAATAATTCAATATCAATTATCTAAATTTCATAATGAATGTATATTGTATGAATTTATTTTTTTTAGAATCTACACCATCGAATTCCTTGTCGAAGTGTAAGAGAACGAAATCAAACTCATTATCGTTCAGTTCTTCATCGACATAAAATTCCAAATGATAATAATATAGAATAATCAAAATTTAATGATGATAATAATACAATAAATCGAACAATTCATTCACCTGCTGATGATTCATCATTATTTTGTAGTGAAAATGAAAGTGATTATTATGATAATCAATATACAACTGTTAAAATACTGATGAATTAATATGTACAGATGATGAAATTCATATAGAAAATTTTAATATTAACAACAATCAACAGTCAGATATAACTACAATAACATCAAAAGATACGTCTCATTGAACTAAGAAAATAATATCAATTAATCCTACAGCAACATTAGATGATAGTAAATCGACAAGTTTTCAAGCATATCATAAAAATTCAATAACAACTCAGGGATTACTTGATGTTCGAAGTCATTTATTGTTAAATACAACAATTGATGCAACGTAAGTTTTATCAATTGATAGAATTATTTCTCATGTCTTCGTTTCTTTTTTAGGAGAGTATAGCAATTAAATGATTAATTCATTATTTCTTTTTTCTCTTTGTCTCTCTCACTCTCTATATATATATATTTTCGTTTGTATTCATTGTAAAAAGTGTTTTTTGCTTATGTGCATGACAAACAAATAAAGCACGACAGATTCTTTTGTATTAAAATTTTTCTAAAATAATTTAGTACTAATATAAAGTTCAAATCAACAAAATTAATCAATGTCAATAATATATCATAAGTTAGAATCTTGCATAATACATTCTTTTCATTTTTCTTATGAATCATCACCTATCAAGCGTTGATTTCTTGATGAGATTAATTTGCATGAAATATAGAGCAGGTCACAAATGAATACATATAATGATTGAGTTTTGTTTTTCGTGTTAAGAAAACACAATGTTGTTTACTGGTCTACTGATTGATGAAAACATTAAAAAAATAGAAATTAAATTTTTTAACTTAGGGTGTGGATGTAAAAGTATTTTCAGCTATCCATTGTAGAATACTTTGCAGTTCCTTGAATATTAGTTGCTGATTTATTATTCTACATAGATAAAAGCAATTTGAATTCTATATCATCAAGTTTACATTTCGATTTGATTCTTTTTCAAGTTGTTGAAAATCGAGACACAAATGTTAAATCCATTTTTAAAAATATTTCATAGATAAGTTAGAACAAACTTTTTTTTAGAACAATTGTTGAAGCTCGTTTAACTTAAATCAATGAAAATAGAGTATGTGTACGAGTGTATGCATAGATGAATAGAGGATACACACCTATACTTAAACATTCGTTTTATTAAATGCCAAAGTAAATTAGAAGAAGGCACAATCTTTACCCATCTCTACTTTACATTTCAAATCATAATGATTATTTCACGAATTTCATTCATGACTATAGTGACTTTATCTTGTTTCAGATTATCAACCTGCTTAAATCTTCTTTCCATTCAGTAAAAAATTTTTTGAAGTGTATTCAACCTAGAATCATGTAAGAAGTATTCGTATATTAATAGCAGCAAGAAAAATTGGTTTATTTGAATACATAGACTTATCATTGACGCCCATTTCTTTTCTTAACAATATAACAATTTTCACTTTATTTGTCGTCTTTGCGTTTTATGACTATTTGCAAATTGTAAGTCACATAGAGGCAAATATTTGCAGTGTGGATTTATTATACATGATATAACACGAAGTAGGCCATATTAAGCTCCTCGAATAATTGCCATCGATAAGACAAAAAGAAAGGCTTATGATAATTTATTATACTTGTTGTTACATAGCATTTCTTATTTTAATCATCAGAAGAATATATGATAAGTTTCATACTGCATTGAAAGGTATGTAAATGTTATCAAAAATTAGGTTTCTTATTTAGTATTGTATAGCGAATAAGGATATTTTCAGATTTTTGAGCAACGATCTTCATCTTCTTAATACTATGCTTATTTCACTGAAAATGCTTGATATAATAAAAGAATTCTTTATTGATTATTCTACATAAGCAAAAAAGATATCTTCCAAAAATCCTTTTAAAGCTTGATACGCCTACATTATAGCATTCTTTTATAGATTCTTTATCATATATTAACATTTTAGAATGCTCAAGACTTGCGACACGAAGCAATTTCTTTTTTTAACCCTACCCGCGTTTATCACTTGCATTCACAATATTCATAAGTTTTAACGAATCAAAAATCTCGAGTAAATTAAGACACGAAAATTTAAGGTAAAAAAAAACATGGATTTTTGGTTTTTCATAAGCTACTTTTTATGTTTCACTATGAAGACTCCACACATTTCAACTGATTCACTCGCTTAATCAAACGTAAAGACTCCATTTTTTGCAATGGAAAAATATTTTTTTCGTGTTAAATATCTTCAATAATTGTTTAATTATATCCTCATATCTGCTAGAGTAACGATAAAAATTATGTTGAAACATAATAGTACTGTTCAAGAGGTAGCTAAATTTTGAAACATTAACGCTAATATATTTTTCTTGAATAGATAGAAATGTTTTACATTTTGCATTGCGATCAATTTTATATAAGGATGTGGGTGTGGGTGTGGATGTGGGTGTGGGTGTGGGTATGGGTGTGGGTACGGGTGTGGGTGTGGGCGTATGTATGGATGTGGGTGTGAGTATTAGTATTTATTACTACACCCACATGCCCACACCCTCTAAACAAAATTATATTTACCCATTCTAGATGCTGAAAAAACTTATACTTCGTAAATGTAAATGTTATGATTATTCCAATGAAACTAAAATTTTTTAAGATAAATGACCTCTTTGATTAACTAAATATTTTGTGTGAAAATGAATTTTCATGAGTTTTGTTACGTACGTTTTCTATTGAAAATAGTACTAAGAATTTAAAAAAATCAATCTTATTGACATTCGATTGTTTTTTCTATGTAAAACTCACGTTTCTAAAACCTGTATATTATTTTATTTAATTATGCAGACATTTAATCAGTAAGAGATAATAATGAGAGCAACTATTCTAAACATGTATTATTAAAGAAAATAAAAATTGGTCTTCAATTAACCCTACTTACTTAAATAATATGATGTTAGTAGTTTCTCTTGTTATTATTATTCATTACATATAACCTTGGCTTCGTCTACAGCCTCAAAATTCAAA